TGGGTTCCTGGAATCAGCTCATTTTCTTTTTTTCCCTCTCCCCCTCCATTCCCCCTCCCCCTCCCCCATGAACCCTTAATAATTTATAAATTATTATTATATCTTACCTTATGCTGCCCAGCGTCTCCCTTCACCCACCCCTCAGCTGCCCATCCCCCAGAGAGGAGGTTATATGTAGATCCCCGTGACCAATTCCCCCTTTCTATGCCCCCCTTCCCTCCTGGTATCGCCACTGTCACTCCTGGTCCTGAGGGATTCATCTGTCCTAGATTTCCTGTGTTTCCAATTCCCATCTGTATTGCTGTGCATCCTCTTGTCTAACCAGATTTGCAAGGCAGAATAGGGGTCCTGGTAGTTGGGGGGAGGAAGCTAAGAACTAGAGGAAGGTTGTGGATTTCATTATTGCTATACTGAACCCTAAGTGACTCATCTCCTCCCCACTACCCCTCTGCAAAGTATGTCCAGTTGTCTAGAGATGGGCATTGGGTCCTCATCACACGCCACCCTCATTGACGATGATATGATTCTTCCCCACTGCCTTTGGTGTTTGAAGCCTGGACCCTTCGGCCCTTCCGTGTGCTGCTTCCATGTGGGCTTTGTTGCTTCTGGGCTAGATGACCACTTGTTTACTTTTAAGCCTTTAAGTCCCCAGACGCTATAGGTCTTGATAGCCGGGCACCATCAGCCTTCTTCACCACACTTACTTATGCACACATTTGTCTTCAAGGGAACAACACATGGTTCAAAACCAATGGTAGGGAGGGGATGGGAGGACTGGTAGGGAGTGACCAAGGGGAAGGTAACTGCAAGGAATTACCGAAACCAGAATGAGGGCTGAACATGGTAATGGGACAGGAAGAAAGTGTAAAGAAATAGAGGAAAGAAGTAGGAGTATTTAAGATTGCGGGGGGAACGGACCTAGGTGCAAATAATTATAGGTTTGGTAGTAGGGTGGCAGGTGGACATTGAGCCTTCTCATGCGCATTCCCCTAAGAGCAGCTTGCTCAGCTAAACGGTCACTTCATGATACCTACCTTCCAGACATGATCGCTGAAGACTGACGTGTGCATAAGCAAATGTGGTGAAGAAAGCTGATGGTGCCCAGCTATCAAAAGATATAGCGTCTGGGGTCTTAAAGGCTTGTAGGCAAACAAGCGGCCATCTAGCTCCGAAACAATAAAGCCCACAGAGAAGACGCACACGAGCCTGTGCGAACACAATCAGGTAGCAGACACCAAAGAACAAAAACCATCATTGTGTGGCCACCTTACCACAGGTTCTTAATAAGCTTTCTTTCTATCCTGATGCCTCACTCTTCTTCATATAATCCAGCTTCTCTGGTAATTTGCTCTGTATATAGATAGGACAAAATGGTTAGAAGATACAACCCTGACACACATCTTTCCTGATTTAAACCATGCAGTATTCCCTACTCCTTTTCTCACAACTTTCTGTTCACAGTTGAATGAACAGAACCATCTTGGATATCCTACTGAAAAACAGCAGCTTGGACATCCTCAAAGTATTCATAATGCTTCATTTTAAACATTCTTCAAGTTTGTGGAATGAAAAGAAGTCAAAAGCACAACAAGCTCAGGGTGGTGAGGTAAACGGGCTAAGGATTCCCATGGAAATTCTCCTATACTGGTCCTTGCAACCTTCAAAGAATGAGCAGGTGAATTGTCTTGATAGCGAAAGAAAAAAAATCCTGGCACAATTTTTCTGATCTTTTTCTCACCAGTTTACCATTGTCTTCAAACGTCTTCATATTAAACCTCTATGCTAACCTATACCCTCAGAGATAAGGTGTCAAGCACATTCCTTTGGATCCAGATTCATAACCTTCTGACTGATCTACTGCCTTGAATTTAACTGGTCCAGAAGATCCCCTAGGAAGCCACTGTTTTGATTGGACCTTGCTCACTGGATTATATTAGAAAATCCAAAATTTATATCCTGTTACAGATCAAGCCACAAAATCATCTTGATTAATTTCATTCTTTTGTATCACTTTATTGGGGCTCCTACAGCTCTTATCATAATCCATACATACATCCATTGTGTCAAGCGAATTTGTAGATATGTTGCCATCATCATTTTCAAAAAATGTTTCTTCTACTTGAGTCCTTGGTATCAGCTCCTCATTTTTTCCCTTCCCTCTCCCACCCTCCCTCCCTTATGAACCCTTGATAAATTATAAATTATTATTATTTTTCCATGTCGTAAACTGATCAATGTCTCCCTTCACCCACTTTTCTGTTGTCCATTCCCCAGGGAGGGGGTTATATGTAGATCATTGTGATCTGTTCTCCCTTTATCCCCCCACCTTCCCCTTCCCCTCCTGGTATCACTACTCTCATTATTGGTCCTGAGGGGTTTATCTGTCATGGATTCCCTGTATTTCCAGCTCTTATCTGCTTTCATTTACATGCCCTGGTCTAGATGGATTTGTAAGATACAATTGGGGTCTTGATAGTGAAGGGGGAGGAAGCATTAAAGAACTAGAGGAAAGTTGTATATTTCATCTGTGCTATACTGCATGCTTGTCTCATCCTTGTGACCCTTCTGTAAGGGGATGTCTAGTTGTCTACAGATGGGCTTTGGGTCTCCACTCCGCTCTCCCCATCATTCACCTTGATATAATTTTTTATTCTGGGTCTTTGATGCCTGATACCTGATCCTATCCACACCTCATGATCACACAGGCTGGTGTGCTTCTTCTATGTGGACTTTGTTGCTTCTCAGCTATTATATGACCACTTGTTTGTCTTAAAGACTTTAAGACCCCAGATGCTATATCTTTTGATAGCCGGGCACCATCAGCTTTCTTTTGATTAATTACATTTGTGCTAATAGACTGATGGGAAAATCAGTTCTTAGGAAGCTCATCATGGTATAGTGGGTTATGCATTGGGGTGTTAACTGCTAGGTTATCAGTTCAAAACCACCAGATGCTCGGTGGGAGCAATACAAGGCTTCTACTCTTTTAAGGATTTACAGTCTCAGAAGCACACAGGGTCAGCTCTACTTTGTCCTTTAGTGTCACTATGATTTGAAATTCACTTGATGGCAGTCATTTTTGTTTTGTTTATGCTTTTTTTTGGTTGAGCTCATTGACCTTTGCATAAAGTTTTTGGCATCTATGAAGCTAAATTGTGCTGAAAATTTTATTTAAAAGTGAAAATGATGAATCATTGAGATCCCAACTTCAGTAGCAACACAACAATGGTAATTCTATTCTTCTACTACTAGCGCTGTCACTAATTTCTTTATTTGTCAAGATTTATGGTCTTCTTTACTTTGACTCATCTCTGAGTTCTTCCCGACTTTCCTTAAAACTGGATTCCTCTCAAAACTGTTGCTTTGTATTGAGCAGAATTCCCATAAGTCTACTGCAGAATTTAAATGATTTGGAGGGATGCACACTAGAATTTTGTTAAAACTTTATACTAGTCTGACTTCAAAATATTACTTTTTCATGGCACAAGAGGTATATTTGTTCTCAAGGAATTCTAAGGAGAATATGACACCTGCATTGATGAGAGGCCTTAGCTACAGTCAGCCACTGGGCTCAGAGATTCGTTGAGTCGTGTTCTGTTTGGAATAAACGTGTTACCTGTACGAACGGAAACCCTGGGGCCAGTCCTTTTTACTTTCATAAAAGTGAGTGCAAATAGAAAAATACATTCATCATAGCTGTTTCTGGGTAGCAAAGTTACAAATCTTATTTGTTTATTTAGTTTTATATTTCATTTCACAATTTAATTTTAAGACTATATAGACATCTGACATCAGGAAAATATGTTACAAAATATAATAAAATTGAACAGCATTACTCTCTTACATTTTATGTGCCTTTTACATCTAGTAGAAAAAGAACACGACGCAAGCAAAGAAAAAAAGAAGCAATGAAAAATCTTTATAGGATTGTCAATTATTCAATTAAATCAGGATTTCCAGATAGAACTTCCCACAGGGGAATTGTTTTTCCCTGATAAACATGGGCTGCTAGAAGACAAACTGGTCAGACCTGGAAGAGGTATGGCCAGAGTGCCCCTTAGAGGCAAGGGTGGGAGGCTTTGTCTTTAATAATTTGGACATGTTGTCAGGAGAGACCAGCCCGTGGAGAAGGGCATAGTGTCTGGTAAAGTGGAGGGGCAGTAAAAGACAGCAAGGCCCTCAAGGAAGTGCCTTGACACAGTGCCTGAATACAGTGGGCTCAAGCTGAGGAACAATTGCGATGTTGGCATAGGACAGGGCAGTGTTTTGTTCTGTTGTGCATAAGGTCGCTGAGGGTGGGAACTGACTCAATGACACCTAACAACAACAACAACAACAACAACCAACAGTGATTATTCCCAAGAAGAGGTATTTGTGTATTCAGCATTGGCATATTAAATAAATTGATTTATTTATAAAGTAAATAAATAATGTATATTTGACAAGTATTGTTTCTCTTTATGAAAGTGGATATAGAAAGTGGTATGTAGCTATAGGAGCCCTGGTGACCGTGAGCTATGTGCTGGGCTGCTAACTGCAAGGTCAGCAGTTAGACACCACCATATGTCCCATGGGAGAATGATGAAGATTTCTACTTTCACGAAATGTTCCAGTCTTAGAAACTCACAGAGGCAGCTCTACCCTGTTCTGTAGAGTCACAAAGAGTCAGACTCAACTTGATGGCAGTAGATTTGGTTTGATTTTTAAAGCAGGGTGCAAAAATAAATTGAAAATAAGGACAAGATGTGTGGCCTGAGTGGTGGCACTTAGGGACCTTGGGAAACTGGAGAGCTGATTCTAGGAGCATATGCGTTTCAAGGAGGAAGATAAGTGGCGAAGGAGAGAGAAGGGGTTAATGGGCATGGAGGCAGGTCCCTGTCCTCAAAGAGGTGGCTTCTATGTTAGAAGTGAATTAATCTAGCTTTTACAAATTATGGTTTCGGTCACAAATATTTGACCTGCATTTCTGAATCATAATTCTCTTCTCTACGTTTGTTTAGGAATTGCATCTACAACCACAACGGTGATAGACAACAAAAATGGGTCCGTGCCCAAGTCCCCTGGGAAAGCGCTGAAGAGGACAGTCACAGAGGACATAGTGACAACATTCAGCTCCCCCGCAGCCTGGCTCCTGGTCATTGCTCTCATAATCACATGGTCAGCTGTCGCCGTGGTTATGTTTGATCTAGTGGATTACAAAAACTTTTCAGGTAGGATTGATCAAAATTGGCATTTAAATGGAAACAAACATAACTTTTCTGGTTTTGTTCTCCCTCAACTCATCTTAGTGTAAAAATTAAAGAATACAAATTGTGTGCCTTATTTTAGATTTTGAGTCAATATTGGTTATAGAGTTTCATCAATTCTCCTTTGTTTTTCAGCCTCTACTGATATCAATTTGAGAATTAAATATCATAAAATTTTTTCATAGTTTGATACATTCAAATAATTGCATGAGAATCCAATACTTACACTTATCAAGTTTATAATTATGTAAGTATACTACAGCATTTACTGTTGAAAGGTATATGTTCTTTATTCTTTAATAAAAAGAAGAGCTTCACAAAATGAGGTTTGCATAATGTTGTTATTAGGTGCCATTGAGTTGCTTCCAACTCATAACCACCCAATGCACAACAGAACAAAAGAGTGCAATGTCCTACACAATCATCACAACTGTTCTTGTGTCTGAGCCCATGATTGAAGCCACTGTGTCCATCTGTCTTGCCGAGGGCCTTCTCGTTGCTGCCCCTCTAGTGAGCACAACTGCATCATGATCCATGTACACGTTCCTATGAGCACAGTGAGGTCTTCTGGAATTCCTATTCTTCTCAAGCCTACCTAGAGTTTGTTATCATCCACATGATCCATTGTCTTTTCATAGTCAATTAGAAAAAGGCATCTTTCCAATAGTCTGTATTTAGCCAAGATCCACCTGACATCACTAATGATACCCTGTACTCCATGTCCTCCTGTGAATGCAGCAAGCACTTGGAGCAGCTCCTGGTCATTGTCCTGTTGAGACCATCGTGGATGATCTTCAGGAACCTTTTACTTGCATTTGATAGTAATGCTACTGTCCTATAATTTGAGCATTCTGTTAAGTCACCTTTCTTTGGAATGGGTACAAATATGGACCTTTTCCAGTCAGCTGACCAAGTAGCTGTCTTCTAATTTTCCTGGCATAGATAAGTAAGTCCTTCCAGTGCTTCATCAGCTGTTGAAACATGGCAATTGGAATTCCATCAATTTCAGGAGTCTTGTTTTTCGCTAATGTTTTCAGTACAGCTTGAACTTCTTCCTTCAATACCACTGGTTCTTCCTCATATGCTTTCTCTTGAAATGTTGAGATGTCTAGGTGTTCTGGGTACAGTGACTGTGATTTTTTTCTTTCCATCTTCTTTAGATGTTTTCTGCATATGTTTTGGCCACGGATCTTTATTATTACAATTCAAGGCTTAATTTTTTTCTTTAGTTCTTTAAGTTTAAAATATGCTGAGTGTGTTCTTCATTCGTGGTTTTCTAACTCTAGGTCTGTATTAGCCTGGGTAGACTAGAGAAACAAATTCATAGGCACGCATATGCATATAAGGAAGAGCTTTATATACAAGAGCAAATGAATACTGAGAAAGCATCCCAGCCCAGTCCAGATCAAGTCCATAAATCCAATATTAGCCCATATGTCCAATACCAATCTATACAGTCCTACTCTGACTTACAAAACACATGCAATGACTCTGAATGCAGGAAGATCATAGGCCAGCAGGTAGGAAGTCTTGTGGATCCAGTGGCGGTTGAGACATCTCAGCAATGACAGAGGTCTCCACTTGTCTACTTCAGCTCCATGGCTCTAGCGTAGCTTCATGTGTCTTGGCAGCAAGCACGTCTCACAAGGAATGGGAGTGTGTCCTGCCTCCAGCGACCTATTTATCTCCTTAGAGCCTCCAAATGAGGTCTTCAAGTTGTGACCTGATTGACAGGCTACACTCTACCCCTTCACTCTTAAGTCTCAAATTGACAACAGATTATGTAACTACCAGCAAGTCTTTGCACACTTAATTACAATAGTTTAGATTGTCTTCTTGAGCTGTCTTTTGAAAATTTCTCTTCAGTCCTTTGACTTCATGACCTTTTCCCATTTGCCTTAGTTACTGTATTATTAAGAGCAATTTTCAGAGTCTCTTCTGAAATTTATTTCCTGTCTTTTAAAAAGATATTTACTTTCCTCATGAATGATGTTTTTGATGTTCACCCACATCTCATCAGATCTTCTGTCATTGGTGTTTAATGTGTTTTCTGTCATTAGTGTTTAATGTTCTTGAGATGTTCTCCAAATTCAGATAGAACATACTCCAGGTCCTATTGTGCCCCTCATTGATTTTTAATTTTCTTCAGTTTCAGCTTACAGCTACAAGAGAACAAGGAATTGCCTGGTTCTGCACCATCTGTACAACTCTTCCTGAGATGATAGAATCCATTATTGTAGCCACTATGTCAATCAAGCTTGTTGAATGTCTAGCTCCTTTTTGCTGCCCGCTACTTTACCAAACATGATGTCCTTCTCCAGGGACTGACATCCCCTGACATGTCCAAAGTAGATGAGATGAAATCTTGCCATACTTTCCTCTAAGCTAAATTCTGACTATACTTCTTCCAAGACAGAAGTTCGTTTGGCAACCAATGGTACTTTCAACAAGCTTTAGTAGCAACACAATTCAAATGCATCAACTCTTCTTTGGTCTTCCTTACTCAAAGTCAAATTTTTGCATGCATATGAGACAATTGAAAACACCATCGCTTGGTTCAGGTGCTTCTTAGTCCTTAAAGTAACATCTTGGCTTTCAGCCCTTTAAGAGGCCTTTAAATGTTTTAACAGCAGTTTTACCCACTGCAATGCACCCTTTGATCTCTTGACTGCTGCTCCCCTGAGCATGGATTGTGGATCCAAGCAGATCAAGCCCTTGACACAACCTGAACTTGATCTGAGCAATTGATGGTCTGTTCCCCAATCAGCCTCTCATCTTGTTTCAGCTGCTAGTATCGAGCTTCTCCATCAGCTCTTCCCACAGATGTAATCAATTTGATTTCTTTGTATTCCATCGGGAGAAGTCTATGCATAGTTGCCATTTGTGTTGTTGAAAAAATGTGTTTACGATGAAGAATGTGTTGGTCTTTCAAAATTCTATTATACAATCTCCAGCTTTGCTTCCATCACCAAGACCATATTTTCCAAATACTGCTGCTTCCTGGTTATTTCATATTAGATTGTGGAAAACACACAATTTACAATAGAGTAACTATTGGGGGACTGCAATTAGGTACTACGGATAAAGCCTAGGCTACTTTTCACTTACTAGGGCTAAAGGTGGCCTCTGCATCACTCTTGTTTTATTATTTCTTTCAGTAAGTGTGTATTAGGGATGGGAAGGAACTCCTCCTACATTTTGTATATTTATTAATGACCTAGCCATAATTCATTCCTGAAAAAAGAAACCTCGGAGTCATCCTTGAATTGTCTATCTAAATGTTTCAAGGTGCGCCCATTTGTGATTCCAGATGCAACTCAAATAGGACTCCCTTTTCAAAGAATTTACAGTCTTCATATATATATTCTTAACACTTTATGGGTAATTATATTAAAGTGGTGAACACATTGTTTCATAATTATCTGTTTGTTCATCTATATCTCAGAAATGTCAAACTTCTCTCAGAAAGGAATACAGTATTATTCACCTCTGTAAATGAGAGTGTATCATACAGTAGGTTCTCTAACATATGTTAGACTTATGAGTAATATTGGCATTTGATTTTGTAATACTCTTTTCTATTCTGAAAGAATATACATATTTAGATAAATAATCTTCCATTGCTTTCATTCAATCAATTATGAAGACTGAAAATTCTTTGAAAAGGGAGTCCTATTTGAGTTGCATCTTGAATCACAAATGGGCGCCGTGAAGCATTTAGATAGACAATTCAAATCATCTTCCATTGGTTTCATTCAAGCAAATTTTTTATCAGCTTTTGAAAGAAAATGCAACTAGATTGTAAAGGTAAAAAATAGAAATATATTTATGCAAAAATAATTTCTTTTAGAAGGATCAGTACAGGGCTAGTCCCCATGAGGTGGAGGTAGTTGTCCTAAATGTTCATATGCCACTCATCATCCCTGGTGTCAGCCACCATCTTTCTCTCCATTTTGTGCCCTCATGCCCCAGGCGTCTGTAGTTTTCCCTGCAGCACCTGCCAGAACTCACATACCGCCAAGGGAATGGCTCACCTGGTGGCAGGAGGTTGCCAGTCCCACATTTGTAGTTCAGATATCTGCCTGGAGTAGTCCCCTCATTCACATCCACCGGGCTGCTCACTCACAAGGCTGCTGAAGCTGGTAGACCAGGTCAGGTGATAGGCCGTTGGCTCGAGTCCAAAAACTGGAAGGTCAGGTAGGGACAAGCCAGATGCAGGATCCGGAGCAAGAATGTGAACGTTGCCACAGATGCTCAGGACAGCTTCAGAAATGAGAAATATCTGAAAGTGAAAGAAGTCTCACATGTTAGCTGGGTAAGGGACACACTGGAACCCATGTCACAACAGATGCCTGTGCCCTGGGGCAGTGGTCTTTATGGACAGTAACTGCATTTGATAGTAATTATCACTGGGGGACAAAGCATCGGCGCATGTTCAGCCAGGAAGGGGGGGTATTGGTCACAAAGATGCTTTTATGGAGGTGTGCTTTCTTCTTTCTAGTGTCAAAAAGTTCCGGAGAAAGCATGCTGATCACCCCTGTGCATGTCATTTGGGCCGGGTCTAGTCTCAGACAGTTCTATGACCCAAGCCTCTTACTTTTTTCCATTGAGCAAGAAGCTGGTGATTTATTTTATTTTACTATTAAGGGATAGTTTAAACTAGCCACATCCCCAAAGAAACTAAGGGTGATGACTTATATCTCTAGTAAGTGGGAGCTCGAGCTATGTACTACCTTAAGGAACCCCAATGGTGATAGGCTATGCAGTGATCGGCTAACCACAAGCTCAGTGATTCTAACTCATCTCTGCAAAAACAACAAGGCTGTCTACTCCTATAAAGATTTAAAGTCTTGTAACCTTAGAGAGGCAGCTCTACCCTGTTCTGACAGACATATACCCTATGGGTATATACTTATGCCTAGGGCTGGCATAAGTTGGGATCTACTCTCTGGGAGAACTTCATT